GGAGGCCGCCGGCCGCCCCGGCTTCCCGCCCGTGGCCTGGGCCTGCGGCCCCGGGGGTCCTCCCGTGCCGCACCGGAATAAGCGGTGACTAATCTAACCTCAGGAGGTGCTTATTCTGGGGGAGACTCCTGCACATCGCTGGCAGCCCTCCCGTGACCTCGGCCAGGTCAGGCCCGAGCCGCCCCGCTGCCCGGTCTCCGCCTACGGTGGGCCCCGGCGTTCATGAAAGGGATGCCCTAAGAAAGCTTCCTGTGGCCTTTCTCCGCCGTGTGGTTTTGGGGTGACCGGCCTTCCGGCCCACGTAGACCCCGGCCACGCAGTCCTCTGCTGCCCTACCCCGGGCTTGGGCTGTGTGCTCTTAGCTCAATCTGACCCGGTCCGGGTCCCAGCACTGTAATTACTCGGGACGTATAGTCTGCCAAAGCTTACTATTTTTATACCCAAAAAAAGCCTGTTTTGACTCTGAAAATAGTAGCTAGGAACTAGGTGCCCTTTGAATGGCCGGTGCATAAAGCTCCATTGTTACAAGCACCAGGCGACCTCCGTATCTAATTTGAAACTTATAAAAGAATACCATGCCACTTGCTGCTCCAGAACATTCCAGAGAAGATTTTGGAGGGCAGCCCAACTGGACCGTGGCTTCTGAACACTAATTCCGTTACTCTCACCCGCTGCAGGTCAACAAGTTGTTTAAACAGTAAATAGTTTTTCCCTTGGAAGCCCCCAGTCCCGCCCCTCCGCTGAGAAAGGGGCCTTCCAGAAGGCCAGCTCTTGGTGCTGCCGCTCATTTTTTCTTTTCTTTTTTTTAGTTGAGGTAAGGGTCAGCATCCCACCTGTGCTTCTGTTTCGGGGTTTTTTCTTAGGGTGTTTTCAGAGAAAGCCTTTTCCTTGGGAATGTCTGGCTTTCAAAGCTAGAATCTCCTCTAGTTACCAGCCATGAGCTTTCGTAATTGTTTTCAAATGAGGTAAAGTGCCCTTTGAAAGAAATGAGTTAAATGTCATTGATAAGACTCCCAAAATCGTGACCTCTGGAGGCCTGGCAGGGTGGACACACCTCAGGTCACTCTGCTGCCACCTCAGCTTAACTTGATGAATGAGGTGTTAAACCTGAAGCTCCCTCTTCATTGCAAACCAGGTTTTCCACCTGATCTCCCCGCAACCAGCCCCCATTTTTAGGTGCTTCTGCCCATGACCTTCGTGTCCCCTTGCCTGCCCCACACATCCCTCGTTAGCCAGTGGAGTGGCCAGATGCAGGTCCCGCAGCGGGGCTGCCCGGCCCAGGGCCATGCCGGAGCGCTCTGCCCTCAGGTGTGTGAGGCTGCGCAGCCGTGCAGAATGGGCCGGGCCTTCGCCCTCTCCTGTGGTGAACACGAATCGCCTTTCTTCCCACAGCCAGAACCATGTCTATCCTCAAGATCCACGCCAGAGAGATCTTCGACTCTCGTGGGAACCCCACTGTGGAGGTTGATCTCAGCACAGCGAAAGGTACGTGCCCCGTGTGCCTCTAGTCCCTGCCACTGCTCCCCACTTCACTTTGGCGGTCTCAGGGTTTAGACGGGAGGCCGCGCTTGCAAAAGCCTGGCGGGAGTGGTGGGCTGATGTCTGTCGGGATGGGCTGGCGATGGGCGGGGCTACGGCCGGGCCTGGGGCTGCCGTGCTGCTGGTGTCAGCACAGCACTGTTGGCTCCTAGGCAGTGAGGCGACACCTGTTCCTGAAAGGACGCTGCCGCCTGCTGTCCTGTTTTGGCACAGGAGGAGGTGTGGGGGCTGGAGCTGTTTCCCCGGGAGACTCAGAGGGGCACTGGAAATAGGACACCCTTGCTGCTCTGGAAGCCACTCCCAGGAACGGGGCCAGTTTCTCCGTCTGGCTGGGTGATGGGAATTCCAGCGCGCCTGTCCTCTCCTTCCAGCACCCCGGGAGTTTGGCCTTATAGGAACAGAGTAGCGGGGAGGCTCTTAAGCCTCCCTCCTCTTCTAAGGAAAACCCACCTCTCCTTAGCTCTGTTGCCACCAGCTCCTCCCAGCTATTTCCAAGTGGGCCTGGGTGAGGCTGGGGAAGGCAGCACCCACCCAGTGTGCGGGAGACCTGCTGCTGCCTGGCAGAGCTGAGTCACGGCTCTGAATCACAGGCCCCGCGGCCCCGCCCTCCCCCGGGGAAGGCTCCTTGACTGTGGACTTCATTCACTGGGCATAAATGGGCAAAAGTTGGCCCGTCTGCCCTGGTTACTGCTGAGTTCACACTTGGTGGCGAGCACCTGAGGTCACAGGCTGCTTTCTGTTTGTAGATTAGTGGACTTTGAAAACCCGAAAAAGGCCAGAGGTACTAAAGATTGTTGAGAGTGGGGCATTGTCTCTGAAACACTTTGGACAGGGACTAGAATTAATATATTTTGAAATCTTGATGAGTGGAGCTTTCATGTTTGTCTTCACAGTACATGAAACTGACTAGCTGAGAGCCTTTCACTACTCCTTTCATGGCATTTATTTATTTATTTAAGATTTACTTATTCATTCGTACAGAACTGGGGTACAGGCCAGAGATGCGGAGGGTGAGAGGATTCACCAGGGACAGAGCGGGGAGCAGAACAGGCAGATCGACGAAGTCCACTGCTGAGGGGAGCAGCGGGCGGGTCAGGAGAGGTCTGCCGCACCATGTGGTCACCTCCGGGGCAGGCGGGGATCGAACTCCTGCGGAAGCGGCTTTAGCTTCTCAGTGCTGCGCTTTAACCCGCTGCGCCACCAGGGAGGGCCTAATTTTTCATTTTTAATGTTGCGTTTTCTGGAAGCTACTGTGGGAAGATCCCATAAGCAGCAGCTTGTGTTTCTGTCAGGCAGTGCTGCGGGGTGGTCCACGCGCCAACTGCAGCCACTTGGGAACTCGTTAGCGGAGCAGGCTGGCAGGCTGCGCGGCGACAAGATCGGGCGGCAACAAGATTGGGCAGCCTGCGTGGTTTGCATCTGCCGCGGGGTCCTGAGAACAAGAAGGGGCGGGTGACGACAGGCCCTGCAGCCTCTGGGGAGCCGGTGTGTGAGCCCGGCAGGCGAGCGGGGCTGGGGCTCCGACTGTGTCCCTGAATGGTTCCTGTCTTTCCCCTCTCAATGTCCAGGTCTCTTCAGAGCCGCTGTGCCCAGTGGGGCCTCCACTGGCATCTATGAGGCCCTGGAGCTCCGTGACAACGATAAGACGCGCTACCTGGGGAAAGGTGAGGGGGGGCCGCGGCTTGCCACTCGCGGGCCTCCCCGTGCACCCCGGGTGTTGTGGCCAGCGCACGTGCCATCTGCCCGGGGACTGGCGAACGTGGGCGCGTGTCACTGTCCCCTCTGTTGCACTGTCTCCAGTCTGTGAGAGGCCCATGGCTAAGCCAGGGACCCCAAGGCCAGCAGCACAGTCACGCTACTAGAGCAGGCCTTCCCGCCTCCGGAGGGCCCTGCAGCCAGTCCTTGCCGCTTGGCCGTGGCCTTTCTGTCTGGACCACAGAAGAGCCCTCCTGGCAGAGTGACCTGTGCGCACTGCTGCTGCCCCTCCCATCGTGAGGGCTGACGTCAGCCCTCAAAAGCTCGCTGTGTGCGGCCTTCCAAAGGGCCAGGGCGGGAGCAGATGTCCAGTATTTCCTGTGGTTTTAAGGGGGAAGGAGGTGGGGCTTCGGGGGCGGAGGCGAGGTGGGCCTGGAGAGGCAGAGTGGCACTGGTCACGCTCAAGCGGGCAGGTGTCTGGGCCCCCTGGAGAGCTGCCCACGGCCCCCTAGCCCAGGCTCAGCCTGATGGAGCGAGGGTGAACCGGCGCCCCCAGCCCGCTCCCTCAATCCTCCCTGTCTCGGCGCCCTCTGAGTGTATCTTCCTTCTCTGTTACCTGCTGGTCAGGTGTCTCCAGGCCCGTTAAGTATATTAATGAGTTCCTGGCACCTGCCTTGTGCACACAGGTAACGTCACGTGCTGTGGTTTCTGCAGCTGGTGTGCCGGTGCATGGTCTTGCCGACTAACTGCCCTCAGATGCTCTGAGGTGGTCGCTCTGTGTGTGGCTCTAACCTGGGGGTCCTGGGTCAGAGCACTCAGACTGGGCCAGACGCCCTCCATTTCGGGGCAGGAGGGGGGCGACAAAGGGGCGCACTGCTGGTCAGGGCCTCTGAGGACCCTGGCTTGGTCTCCAGGGGCTGCTCCGGCCTTGCTGCTCGGGCCCTTGGCCGCGCACATCAGTAATCAGTGATTGTTCCTTCTAGGTGTCTCAAAGGCTGTTGAGCACATCAATAAAACAATTGCACCTGCCCTGATTAGCCAGGTAGGCCCTGCCTCCCGACGCTACTGGACCCTCGTGCCGTCCTGGCGCCTCGGGCTGTCCTGCTCGGGAGAGCTCACTCTGAGAGCTGGAGCTGCTTGGACTCCCTGTTCTGCGTGTGGTTGTCTTTTCTAACCGCCCTGCCTGCCTTCTGCATGTCTGCACGTGCCCATAGACAGGGCGGGAGGTTGTCTCAGAGCCTCAGCTGTCTCCTCCCATCACCCTGACCTGCAGGGAGCGAAACAGCCGAATGCTTCTGTAAGATCTACCTTGGAGCCTCGGTGTCAAACAGACGAAAGTGATGTTGGTTTTTGTCTCGCTCTCTCCCCGCGCCACCCTCCATAATCTGGGGACTAGGGGGCCCTTGATATCGTGAGGAAGATTGTCCAAGACCTTTCTCGTGGTCAGAGCCTCCCCCAGCCCCTCACCTGTCCGAGGCTGCCCTCCTCGCCCTGCTTGTCCTGCGGCCGGTGGTGGCCCGTGGCCCCCGGCTTGCTGCTGTGGCCTGGCTTTGTGCCGCCTGCAGTGCTCCCTCCGCCGGCCCCCGGGGCCTCCTGGCACCAGCTCCCTCGGGCTCCTGCGCCCTGCCCACACCGGCGCCTCCCCCTGTGGCTGTGCAGCGCGTGGGGCTCTCTCGGGCACTTTCTGTTTGATCTCTTGGGGAAGGCATCCCCCTGCGGCACCTGCTTGTGTGCCTGCAACGTTTCTGTTTAAACACACCTGCGTGTATCTGAGTGACACTGCCCTGATCCCATCCGGAAGTCTAAGGCGACACGAACCCGTGTTAATTACTTTGAGCCTGTTTTTAAGGCGCCGGTTGCTTTACCTGTAATCCCGCCCACACGCATTGTGCGTGCTTGTGACGTTGGACGTCACGCGGTGAATGCAGGCACTGCGGGGGGCGGGAGCCTGCCTCGGCCCCCGAGCCCGGCCGCGGGTGAGCGCTCGGCTCTTAGTGCCCCGTCGGGGCTGCTGGGCTCGGGCCTGGCCTCGCCTGTCCTGGCAGGCTCCTGCCCAGCGGAGCTCAGACGCGGCCGGCTCCCTCGCGCTCGGAGCCAGGCCTGGGACTGAACGGCCGGGTCTGCGCTGCCACCCTGCCCCCTCATCTTGCTTCATGTTTCTTGACTTCTGCCTGCAAAACAAATGCATGCTCCGAACAGACTCTGACTCCGCCGTCCCAGCGTTCTGGGCCGGCAGCTCCCCAACTCTGTCCTGCCTCCCCTCCTAGAAGCTGAACGTGGTGGAGCAGGAGAAGATCGACAAGCTGATGATCGAGATGGATGGGACAGAAAACAAGTGTGAGCAGCCGGGGGGTCTTGGCGGGGCCGCCCAAGTCCTGGGGGTCACTGGGGGGGGGCGACGTGTGGCCCTGGCCTCAGCCACACCTTTCGGTGTCAGGAACCTCTGGTGATGGTGGTGTCTTCAGCTGAGGGTGATTTCTGTGGTGAATCAGTTTGTGGGATTTCCCCGGAACTCCCTAGACTAGAGAAAGGGCCTGCTTTGGGGGGAAAGGCAGCCAGGGAGTATCTGCACGTCCAGCTTGAACTTGGGAGGTGACAGGTCGAGGGGAGATGCCTCAGCAGGGCCCCGGGTGTGGCTTTCGGGCAGGAAGGCCTACGCAGAGGTTGGTGGGTAAGGATGCGTTTAACTCTGGTCTAGCTAAATTTGGTGCCAACGCCATTCTGGGAGTGTCCCTGGCAGTCTGCAAGGCCGGTGCCGTGGAGAAGGGGGTGCCCCTGTACCGCCACATCGCTGACCTGGCTGGTAACTCCGAGGTCATCCTGCCCGTTCCGGTGAGTGGCCGCCGGCAGCTTTCTGGGGAGGAGTGGGAGCGGCAGCCGGCTCGTAGGAGCGGGGTGGTGCGAGCCGGCGCGGGCTCTGGGCTGCAGGCCGCCCGCCTCCTGTGTGCGTGCCCTCTGCCTTTGTCGGGAGCTGGGCCTTCCGCTCGCGTGTTCAGCAAGGCAGCAGCCAGCTCTGGGGGACGCGGCCCCCCGAGAACACGGCGGGCCGGGGCCACGCCCTGCTGCACTTGCTGCTCTCTCCCCAGGCTTTCAACGTCATCAACGGCGGCTCCCACGCGGGCAACAAGCTGGCCATGCAGGAGTTCATGATCCTGCCCGTCGGGGCCGCGAACTTCAAGGAAGCCATGCGCATCGGAGCGGAGGTTTACCACAACCTGAAGAACGTCATCAAGGAGAAATACGGCAAAGACGCCACCAACGTGGGGGACGAAGGCGGCTTCGCCCCCAACATCCTGGAGAATAAAGAAGGTAGAGCCCCCAGCGGTAGCTGCCAGCAGCTGCCCGCCCCCCTTCCTGGGGCCTCTGCCACCTGGGGGGCTCTGGCCTTCCCACCGTCTTGTCCGCAGGCCGTGCCCGGCAGCCGGGCCGTGTGGGCTGGGCCCCCTTGCTTCCCCCACCCCAGCTGCCCAACTGGTGGCCGAGTGAGGCCGCGTCCGGTGGGGTGGCGGGGCGTCACGTCGGCCCTTTGTTGAGACTGGCCGCGGCCGCCTCAGCCCAGCCTCGTGACGCCGCGCCCACCGCGTGTTTGTGAGGGCTGGGCGCAGGGCGCAGCGTGGGGCAAGGGCCTCGTGAGGGGGAGAAGCCGTGTGGCCCCCAGAAGCCGGCCCTTCCTGCTGTGTTGCCCTTTGCCCCTGAGAAACGTGGTTAAACTGCGATTTGGGGTCTTTGGTGTAAAACGCCTTGGTGTCCCTGGGCCACGTTGCCCTGACCCGGGGTGCTGGTGCAGGGCGCCCTCCCCTCCCCCTGCCGCCTCTGCCCGTGGAAGCCGACCCCAGCTGCTCCCCACAGCTCGCTCAGCACCGCTGTCCCCGAGGCCTTTTTCTGGACCAAGGAGGAGCTTGCAGCAGGGCCTGTGGCCCTGGGCTGGGTGATCTGCTCCACAGGGAGCAAAGAGCAGCTAGAATCCTGACACAGACAGTGGCCAGGGCACCTCCGGCCTTGAGGCCCCAGGGCCCGTTGGCAGCTGCCAAGGGGCCGTGCCCTGTCCTGACGGGCGGCCGTCTCTCCCAGCCCTGGAGCTGCTGAAGAACGCCATCGGGAAGGCCGGCTACTCCGACAAAGTGGTCATCGGCATGGACGTGGCCGCCTCCGAGTTCTTCCGCTCGGGCAAGTACGACCTGGACTTCAAGTCACCTGATGACCCCAGCAGGTACATCTCGCCTGACGAGCTGGGCAACCTGTACAAGTCCTTCATCAAGGACTACCCAGGTGAGTGCCCCGGGGCGCGGCCACGTGGGGGCGCTGAGGCTGCGGCGCCCTGTGAGGGGCGTGGTCCAGGTGCGGTGGGCGCTGCCGCACCACGGAGCTTGCGTGGGGCAGGGGCAGGGGCAGCGGGCACAGAGAGGGTCAGTCCCTCGCCCGAGGGCACTCAGCTCGTGGCGGAGCGAGACCTCGGACAGGGGAGGCATCAGTCCCGTCTTCTGCCGCAGGGTGTTCAGCATGGGGCCGTGGTGGGGCGAGGCCCTGGGCTGAGGCCGCTCTTCTTTCCTCAGTGGTGTCTATCGAAGACCCCTTTGACCAGGACGACTGGGAGGCCTGGAAGAAGTTCACCGCCACTTCGGGCATCCAGGTGGTGGGCGACGACCTCACGGTGACCAACCCAAAGCGCATCTCCAAGGCTGTGGGCGAGAAGTCCTGCAACTGCCTCCTGCTCAAAGTGAACCAGATTGGCTCCGTGACTGAGTCCCTGCAGGCGTGAGTGCCAGGCCGCCTGGGCGGGCCGGGAGCCCTGGGACCGGCAGTTTCACGTTTGGCGCCAAGGGACTGCCATAACTGTTTCATCCCCATTTCCCCGGGAGCATCCCCCTCGGGGCTCAGCGTCTTCCAGGCAACGGGAGGCTGTGAGGGCCCTGGGCTGTGGGTTCAGAAGCGCCCGGGTCCCCAGCCCTGGGCGCGGAGGCAGTGGGAGGCGGGCGGTGAGCTGGTGTGTCCTGGCCCCCAGGTGCAAGCTGGCCCAGTCCAACGGCTGGGGGGTCATGGTGTCCCACCGCTCCGGGGAGACTGAGGACACGTTCATCGCCGACCTGGTGGTGGGGCTCTGCACTGGGCAGGTGAGTGGGCCCTGCAACGAAAGATCCTGGTTCTTCCCGAACACCGGGAGGGTGCTGGGCGGCCCGTCAGTCCCCTCCTTCCTGGGGCCAGAAATTGTCTCTGTCCTGGCCCCTTCACCCGAAGCACCCCTAAGAATCGTGTGCATTGTCAGTGAACGTGACCTGTCTTTCCTCCCAGATCAAGACTGGTGCCCCGTGCCGATCGGAGCGCTTGGCCAAGTACAACCAGATCCTCAGGTAGAGGGGCTCGTGCACAGGGGTGGGGTGCAGGTCAGCCGCGGGAGGGCGGGGGAGCTCCGGAGACGCTCGCCCTCACTTGGGCCCTGAGGGGACGGGGCTGTGGAAGGGCGAACACTTCCACGGTGTCCTCGAGAGGCCACGTGCCACCGTGGCTCCTCATTGGTGTTCCAGTGTGGCAGGGAAGAGAGCCGTCCGCTTGTCAAGGCTGCCAGCTCCCCCCCCACACACACCCCTTCTTTATAGCTTCCTCCTGGGGGTTTCAAGCGTACAAACATGCGACAGTCACTAGCCCGGCCCTGCGCTGCCTCCACGTCTTGCCTCTACCCCTGTTGTTCATCTTTGTGTTGGGGAATTTTACTTTTAAAAAACTATTTTTGTGTAGAACTGAGATGCAGACCAGAGGTGCCAGGTGGGGGGTTTGGGGTGGGAGGGTTCCCCAGAGAGAGTGGGGAGCAGAACAGGCGGATCTACTGAGACACAGGCTGAGGGAGCAGCGGGAGACAGGAGGGGTCTGCTGTGCCCTGGAGCGAACTTGCGCTGCAGGGCTGGGGCGGCTTCGCGGCTCTGGGACACCCCTGCGCCCCCGGGGAGCGCCTCTTTTAAACATAGCTGCCCTGCGGCTCTGTGTCCCGAGTGGGCTGCTGCGTCACTGGTCTGTTCGTGTTTGGTCTCCCCCGGTAGTCTCGGGGCACTTGGGGCTTTCTGACATCAGGACCCAGGCTTCGCCCCGCTAGGTTCTGTCATGTGGGGTGCGGGGTGCGTCCCCAGTCAGGTCCTGCTGCACTAAGGCCTGACCCCATGCTCTGTCGTCGCCTTCTGTTTGCCTAGGATTGAAGAGGAGCTGGGCAGCAAGGCCAAGTTTGCCGGCAAGAACTTCAGGAACCCCCTGGCCAAGTGAGCTCCAGGCCGCGCGGGGGCCTCCCGGGCACTAGCAGCCGCTCCGACCTCAGCTCCTGCTGCCCACAGGCCTCGTCCTGGCAGGCTTCTGGCTGCTCCCACCTCTCCACCCCATGACGTTCTCATCGCTTCTTTAGAGCTGCTGCCCGGGCCCAGCTTGACCGCGGTGACCCTGTTGGCCAGGCTCTTAGTCATGTGATTGGCCCACGTCCCTGTTCTCCCACCAAGTGTCTGGTGGAGCCATGTGCTTCCCCGTTGAAAGCTCTGAGGTGTCCATGGGCCAGACCCCTGGTGGTTTTGTGCGTAATAAAAGACCTCAGTGACCTGTGAGAACACTGTACGTGCCCGTGTAAGGGGGAGGGCTGGGGGGCTCCACGCCCTTCAGTGCTCCCAGGTGTCCCCGAGGGCTGCGGGGGTCCTGGCGTCCTGACCGCAGAAGCTGGCTAGGGTGGGCTGGTGGCTGCCGGTCCTGCATCTCACTTGCGAGGAAGCACGGCTGCTGGGGCCCTGGGTCCTGGTCACTGGTCCAAGCTGGGGGCACGGCGGAGGACCTCACCGGGCTGGCCGTGGGGACGGCTCTCCAGGGAGCAGGCGAAAGGGTGGTTAGAGGGGCGCCGGGAGGGACTGTTGGGGTTGGTTTCGCGCCAGTGCTGGTCCTCGCTCACACCCTGGAAGGCCACAGGTGGCAGCGGCACCGGGCGGCCGGTGGGAGCCGTGCCGTGAGGCGTCTGTTCTCAAGGCAGGGACCACGCCGCCCCCGAGGTCTGCTTGTCTCTTAAAAGAGATTTATTTACTCATACAAAAATGGGGTACAGGCCAGAGGTCCAGAAAGTGGGTGCGGTGGGAAGATTCCCCAAAGACTGGGAGCAAAACAGGCAGATCCACTGGAACCCACTCCTGGGGGAGCAGTGGGGAGACAGGGGTCTGCTGCGCCCTGTGGTCACTCCCAGGCGGGGACTGACGGGGGGGGGGGGGCCTCGCCCTTCCTCTCCCCTGCAGTTCATCTTAAGTCTTGGAAACCGGTGGGGGCAGGGCCAGTAGACGAGTGGACGCTAGCAAAGGGGCGGGGCTCTCCCTGGTCCACGAGCCACAGGGTGGCAGTCTCGCTGCCATGACAAGGACCTACTCCTCGGCGCCCACTCAGGTGCCACAGCAGGAACCTCAAGCCCTGCCTGCGAGGCCTCCTGCTGGTGGGTCAGGCCCCCCGGGTCGTCCTGGGGGATTATTGATTGGAAGCTGACTGATGGCGGTGACAGGTTTGTCCGAACTGGCTTCACAGCTCTCACGTCAGTGTTTGGACGACAGGACTTTAGTCTCAGACACGTCAGCGCTGCCCGTGACCTTAAACCTGCTGCTTCCTAACGTGGCAGCTCCCTGCCGGGTCTGACGGACCGCTTTCCCGGAAGGCGGATTCTGGAGGCAGACCTGATGGCCTGACTTGAGGGTGCGCTTATTCCAGCCGAAGTCAGCGCGCCGCCGGTCTGGCCTGGTGTCAGCAGGTGACGCAGGAAAGGCGTGGATGGCTCAGGCGAGGGGCAGGTGCTGCGGGTGTCCCCCGGAGGAGGCTGCAGGCCCAGCGCCTGCCCCCGCTCGTGCCCCGGCTTCCCTGACTGAAGCGAACAGGCTGTGTGAGTTGTTTGCAGGTCTGTGGGCCAGGACAGGCCTTGTCTCTGGGCCACGGTCAACACAGGCTTCACGCGTTGAAGTGTCTGAGAGCAGGAGCTCGCAGTCTCGACTTGGTTTTCACCCTGGAAAAGTTTTCTATTACGAATGCTTCTCCACAGAACTGGCCTTGCTCATCTGTGGTTGTCTTGCAACCACCAAGTTGGTGGATGTCTGATGTTAGAACAAATCAGTGGAAAATTTGAAACAGTGTGGTTCCCAGGCTTGGCTGCTCGCGGAGATGGTCTGGCCCAGACCAAGTCAGCTGGGGCCCCGGTGGACCCCAAAGCCTGCGGAGCTTTCACACACCACTCCCCGCCCCTCACTGCCCGGCTCATTGCCAGGCCGAGTCGGGGTGCTGTGGGGAGCAGCCAGACCTGTGAGTTTCCTCCCGGAATGCAGCTCAGGTGGCCACAGAGGACCACACGCTCCACAGAGCAGGTCCCTTTGCTCCCCGGCTGGGCCGCTGGGTGCAGCTGAGTCCGGCTCCCCCAGCCGCAAGGGCAGTGCAGAGGGCACGCGTCGGGTGACGCCACCCCTCCCCACCAGTGGGCGCAGACTGCAGATCCGCCTCCTGGGGGGGTTTCTGCCTCGAGACCAACACTGAGCTTCTGCTCCGACCGTCGAAAGCCAGGTACTGACCCCTCACCTAACAGGTGCGGCCTCACCTAACGGGCAGGCCGAGGTCCCCAGAGCAGCCCCGGGCCGGCTGCCTTGCAGCAGCAGGAGGAGGAGGGGCAGGGCTGCTCACACACCCTAGGGGACGTCTGCGCCGACCAGAGTTACGAGAATACTTCACAGTCGGTGACAGACCCTGCTCTTAAGCGTGCAGGTCAGGATGTTTCATAAATCCCTGGGCAGTCAGTCCCACCCTGTGACCTCGAATATCCCCAGACCCCACTTCTGGCCCCAGGCAGCCTACAGTGGTTGCTTTTTTTGTTTGCTTTTTAAAGATCTATTTACTGATGCCTAGTACTGAGGTGCAGGTCAGAGGTGTGGGGTTGAGTGGATTCACCAGAGACAGTGGGGCACAGAACAGGTGGGTCTACTGAAACAGTGCTGAGGGGAGCAGCGGGGAGTCAGGAGAGGGCCGCTGCGCCCTGGGGGTCACTCCTGGCTGGGGATCGTACTTGTGCTGCAGGGGCTGAGGACAGCTTCGTAGTGCTGTGCTTTAACCTGTTGCACCACGGGAGGGCCCTGACCGTGGGTTTTAAAGGTTCTAATCACTAGTCAAAATCCGACAAAATTCCCGTTTCTGGGTTCTAGTGAGCTGAGGAACTGAACACGCAGGCCTACACCCCTGGAGGGTAAGCGCTGGCCTTACACACACCTGCTTGTCGACCTGCCAGTGGACCTGGGCTTTTGAACCTGCCCCAGCCCAGCCATGGTCTCCTGTGCTGGTAGTGTCTTCCCAGTTCTCTCCTTTTCTAGAAAGAACATTTGTCCCCAAGTTTCCTTGAACTCAGATCCTCCGGGCCTCTCTGTTGTTGACAACTGATTTCCCCAGGTCTTAAGGCAGCAAACTCGTCTGAGCCTCCAGATCCAGAAGTGGGGTGACAGACACCTCCCACCTGGGTTTGGGTCACCAGCTGTCCAGAGCCCAGGCTGGCCAGTGCACTCCTGCTTTCTCCAGCCATCTTGCTGCAGAGTATGCTGGCTTGGTGACCAGGCTGCTGTCCACTGGGGCCTGGAGTGGTAGCAGGCTCATTGCAGATGTGACCTAAGACAGTAACGAAACCCCAGTGCCCCAGGGGTGAGGAGTAACCACAGTCTTCCATGGCACCCACGCAGCTGTTGAGACGTGTTAATAGTCACTTCCACTGCCCCCCCTGGCCACTGAACTGCCACCACAGCTCTGAGTTATTGAGGGGACATGCACAGGCTTCATGCGGGCAGCTCTCCGAGTCTCAAAGTCCTCTAGGGGTGAGCCTCCCTAGCGGTGCAAGGGGTTAAGTGGCAGCACTATGAAGCTGGCCGCAGCAGGAGTTTGATCCCTGGCCAGGGCTGACCCTCAGGGCGCAGCAGACGGCTCCTGTCTCCCCGCTGCTGCCCTCAGCTGCGTGTTTCAGTGGATCCACCTGTTCTGCTCCCCACTCTGGGGACTCCATAACCATCACTACTATCTAATGCCAGAACATTTTTGTTACCCGAAGCAGGAGGTACAGGCACCCCGAGCCTCTGGGAACTTTTATTCTGTTTTCTGTCTCAATTTGCCTGTCCTTGATATTTTATAGAAGGGGGCTCGTATAGTTGTCTTTTTCCGTCTCATGTATTTCACTTTCTAATATTTTCCAAATTGATGTCCTCGGCAGCTACCCCTTGTTCCTTTTAATGACTGTTGGGGACATATCACCTTTTGTTCATCCATTTCTCTGCTGGTAGCCACTTGGGTTGGGCCCACCGTTTTGGGGATTGTGAGTAAAGTGCTGTGGACATTGGTGACCTCGAGCCTCTGCTGTCCACTCTTGGACGCACATACTGAGCTGTGGGGTTGCTGGGTCATATGGTAGCTCTCTGTTTAGTTTTTGAGGACCTTCAAAGCCTTTCCACAGCAGCTGCACCGTCCCTGCTCACAGTAGTGCGAGGGGTCTAATTCTTCCACACTCTTAACACTAATTATTTCCTTTTTTTTTTTTTAATTACAACCATCCCCGTCGGGTGAGGTGGTCTCTCACTGTGGTTTTGATTTGCATTTCCCTGGTGATGAGTGATGTCGAGCATATTTCACTGGTTTCTGGGCCATCTGTAGGTCTTTGGGGAAATGTCCTTTCAGGTCGCGTGCCCAGGTTTTGATTGGGTTGTTTGTTGGTGTTCTGCTGGGTGACAGCGTTCTCTCGTTTCCTGGGTATTCTCAGATAAAGATTTGCAGGTGTTTTCTCCCATTCTCTAGTTTGTTTTCTCACTTTCTTGATAGTGTCCTTCAAGGCACAAGGGTTTTTTTTAAAGATATATTTATATATGCATACAAGATCTGGGGTACAGGCCAGAAGTATGGATGCGGGTGTGGGGTGGTGAGAGGATTCACCAGAGACAGAGTGGGGAGCAGAACAGGCAGATGGACTTGCGAGGGGAGCGGCGGGGAGATAGGAGAGGGCTGCTGGCCCTGTGGGTCCCTCCCTGCTGGGGACTGAACTTGTGATGAAGCAGCTGCGGCCAGCGTCACAGTGCTTTAACCCGCTGCGCCCCCAGGGAGGCCACAAAGTTTTTTTATTTTGACAAAGTCCAGTTTATCTCTTTGTTTTTCCTTTGGTCGCTCACACTTTGGCTGTCGCCTGGGTCTCATTGGAGAATCCATTGCTTGCTTCAGTGTTGGAGATTCACACCTACATTTCCTTCTAAAGTTAAGTCGTTTTCG